ATGCCAACACATTTTTCTCGGGATCTCAATGCCACTTATCAACCTGACTGCTGCGCCTTGACGATCCAGAATCGTGCCAGATCGCCTTTTCTTTCGGGACTTGAACACCGCGAATCAACATAACTGTTGCGCCCGCATAATCCTGAATCCGTCCAACACACTATTTCTGGTACGTTGGTCATGGGAATCCGTGAAACTCTTTCCAGATGTTGAAGACGAGTGCTCGCGGCGCGAAGGCGAGAGCCACATTTTGAAACGGAACCGCCCTCAATCCGTGAAGGTCTTGCAAAGTTTGGAAACCATGTGCGCGGCGCTAAGGCGAGAGCAACGTTTTGAAAAGGAACCGTCAGTCCGTGAAGCTCCAGCAAATTCTAAAACGAATGTGCGCGGCGCTAAGGCGAGAGCCACATTTTGGAAACCACCCGCACCCGCCCTCAATCAGTGAAGCTCTTGCAGTCTTTAGACGAATGTGCGCGGCGCTAAGGGAAGAGCCACATTTCGAAAGCGACCCACCCTCAATCCGTGAAGCTCTTGCATGTTTTTGAAAACGAATGTGCGCGGCGCGAAGGCGAGAACCACGTCTTGAAAACGACCCGCCCTCCATTTGCGAAACTGTTTTCGTTTTTCAAGCATCAGGGTCATAGATGGTGAGGAAATCTCGGGCGAAACGCCCGGCCCGCCCTAACACCTGGCCTCGGGGTGCGACAGGGAGGAGTTATCTATAAGGAGAAGGAATGGAGGAGGAGGACCAGTGTAAACCCAAGAGGCATTAACGATGTTAGAGTAAACCTTCCCTCCAAGCTCCCTCTGCATAGACCCCTACAACGGTTCATGGTTACTGAGGGATTTCCCCGTTCGAAGACAACTGGTCGAAGACCCTGACTCGAGCCAAAACATTGTGTTCGGGATTCCAACGCCACGGTTCAACGTGACTGTTGCGTATTGACGATCTTGGACCGCGCCAGAGCGCCATTCCTGGGTTTGGAACACCGCGGACCAACATAACGTGTGCACCCCCATAGCCTGAATCCTTCCAAGACGCAGACAGTTTCTGGTACGTTGATCATGGGAGCCCGCGAAAGTCTTACAAGTTTGAAAAACCAGTCGCGGTACGAGCGTGCGCGGCGCCAAGGCGAGAGCCACATTTTGAAAACGACCCGCCTTCAGACCGTGAAACTCTTGCACCGTCTTTAGACGAATGTGCTCGGCGCTGAGGCGAAAGTCACATGTCGAAAACAGCCCGCCCTCCATCTATGATGGTCTTGCACATGTTTAAGACGAGTGTGCGCGGCGCGAAGGCGAGCGCCACATTTTAAAAACTATTCGCCCCCCAAACCGTGAAACCCTTGCACAGTTTTAAGACGAATGTGCGCGGCGCGGAGGCGAGAGTCACATGTTGAACACCACCCGCCATCCAATTGAGAAGCCGTTCCCAATTTGTGCCCTAAAAGCCGTTCTCGGGGTGCGACAGGGAGAAATTCATTCTGAGGAGAAGGAATGAAGGAGGACAAGGGTGATGATGATGATGAGGAGGAGGAGGCTGGGGAAGGCAAGGAAAAGGTGTGGAAGGGGGAGGGGGGATGGGGGAAACGGGAGGAGGAACGCGATGAGGAAGGAGGAGGAGGAGGAAGAGGAGCAGCAGCAACATAAGGAACAGCAGGAGGAGGAGGAGGAGGAGCAGGGGGAGGAGGAGGAGGGGGAGGAGGGGGAGGAGGAGGAGGAGGAGGAGGAGGAGGAGGAGGAAAAGGATGAGGAGGAAGAAGAGGAGGAGGAGGAGGAGGAGGACAAGGAGGAGGACAAGGAGGAGGGGGCGGGGGCGGCACGCGCAGGGGAGGCGACGTATAACAGAGGGGGGGGCGGCACACCAGAGGGGTGAGGGGGGGGGAGCACGGGCACACTGAGGGAGGGGGGTGGCGAGGGGGCCGCACGGTGAGGGGGGCTTTTGTCCATCTTTCACATTCCCACATCCACAGTGTTCATGCTCGTTTTTTGTCCTCCCTCATCGTTCTCGTCTCCTCCCCCCTAAAAAACACCTACTACCTTCTCTCGCCTCCCTCTTCCTGACCGCCGACTGGCTATTCCTCCTTGTCGTCCCCCTTGCACTCCCCGAGTATACAGATGGTCTAGATGTCTAGGCGGATCGCCTTGGCGGAACGTTCTTGTATCGGGCTTTTGACGGGGGTGCGGGGCGCGCGCGAGGTGGCCACGCGAGGGGAGGGGAAGGGCACAGTGGCATGCCAAACGGGAAGGTCACGGCAGGTTCGTGTCGTGCCGACGCGGCGGCGACCCCATCGGCAAGGGCAGTTCAGGCTGAACGCCGACAACGGCTTGGAATCGGAGATCTGCGTTATCGGAAGGGCGCGGTCGTTGAAGGCCACGCGGTGTCAGAAAGCAGTGCCAACGTCGTCACGAAAGGCGACAAATTTGCACAAGACGGGGGGGAATTGGAACTGCGGGATGTCGCTCGTTTGTGTATATATACATAGTATTGTGGGCGCGC